AGTTTGAGGTTGCTGTGAGCTAGGCTGATGCCACGGCACTCTAGCCTGGGCGACAGAGCAAGATTGTGTCTTAAAAAAAAAAAAAAGTAACGAAAGTTTTTTATACATCTCTTAGAGTCCTAAGAGCCATAATTCTGGGAACATTGGTGGCTTTAACCAGAGTACGGTTACCAATACCCAAGGCATGGTGAGGCCAGCCTTTGGGGTGATCCTTGGGTTTACTTGCAGTGTTTCTACCCACTGCCCCCAAAGGCTGCGTGGTCACTCAGCTCTCACGTGATTACAGAGACTCATTTGCTAAATGCAGGGGCCGCTTCCTTTACTGTGTGGCCCCTTCAAGCACCTGCAGTTAGAGAGCTCTGGCCTGACTCCAGGGGAGGGTCGGGGTTCCTGCTGGGGATTGGCAGTTTCTGAGGCCTCTAGAAATAGCCATGAGCCCCAGGTGGAAGGAAATACCCAGAGACCCTGATTCTAAAGGGTAAACTCAGGTTTTGACTGAAGCTACAGGGCTTCTGCTTTCAAGTCACAAAGTGTATGCTCATTGAAATACACGTTTAAAAGTCAAATGTGAAAAAGAAAAGGTCCTATTCTCCTAACTCCTAGCCATCCCCAGGAGTCATTAAACTTTGATGTGTATTCTTCCAGATCGTTCCACAAGTTACTATAGAATATACATCCACTCTCCCTCTATTCTTTTCAAAAATTGGTTTGAATCCAACTTCCTTTGCAACTTAACTTCTTCACTTTTGTCACACCTTGTTGCCAGCTTGTACTATGTAATCTACTGCAAAAATTGATTTTTTTTTTTAAGCAGCAGTTGTATAGGAGGTTTTGTTAGAAGTATTCCAAGTGTTAGTTGTGCTTTGCCTTGCCAATCACCCTGGTTTTTCAAGGGAAAGGTGAAATGATTTACGATCCTGCCTGCTGCCACCCCTCCTCGCTCAGGGCAGAAAGTCACAGTTGCCAAGTGCAGACTTGTACTCAAAAGAAACCAGAAGGTCAGTGTGGAATTCCTGCTCTCTGGTCAACCCTGATCCTTAGCTTGGGGGCCTGGGAGGCTGAGAACGCCTCTGTGGGCCTCGCTGCACTTCCCACTGCGCATCAAGCCCAGCATCCTGACTCAGTCCTAGTAAAGCAATTCAGCTTTCCTACCTCCTCCCAGCTTCTAGACGAGAAGAGAGGGCTGTTCGGTAATTTCTGCAAACCCAAAACTCCATCCAGGAGCCAGGAGCCAGGAGCCAGGAGCCGACCCGCCAGGCCGCGGGGCCATCGCAGCCCACCGCAGGGGGCGCTCCGACCACGAGGGGTCAGAGTACCCCTCAAGGGCCATCTCGGGGTGGGCTAACCGGCGCCCCTACACCGCTGGCCCCGCCTCACCTGAGGACCACCTGCTCCTCATGGAGAAGAGCGGGACCTTCTCATCTATGCGCGCTCCCTCCTCCCCTGAGCACCGTCTCCGGGCCAAAAGTGAACGCGCCCCTTCCCAACCCCACCCCCCACTCTGCACACACTTCGGCCCCTCACCTGCGCACACGCCCCCTGCCCACCTGAGCACCTGTTCCCCACCTCATCTATGCGCGCCTCCCCCCCCCCCGACGCCCGCACCTGCGTCCCCCTCACCTGCGTCCACTTCACCTGCACGCCGCGCAGCGATCCGCCGACACCCGCGCCCCCGGCCCCGGCCGCCGCGTGGGGCCTCCCCCCAGCCCCGCCCCCGGCCTGACGTGACAGGTCGGGGGCCAATCGCAGGCGGGCTCTGCGGGCCCGGAGGCCCTGCGCGCCGCGATTGGCTGAGGCGCCTGAGCAGACTCCAGGACCATCGCTCGAGCCACTCGGCGGCGACCCGCGCGAGATTGACGGCCTGGCCCACCCCGCCTCCTCGCCCTCCCGCCCCCTGGCCCGAGCAGGGTCCCTTTTCCACCCACGCGGACACCCGGGGCGCCCGGGCTGCTCTCGCATGCGGGGGCTGGGGAGGGGGAGGGCTGAGGACCCGCGGGACCGAACGGGGGAGAGGGAGGCGCCACGCTCATCCACATACTGGGAGGGGGGTGGGCCGCCTGGTGCCTCAGTTTCCTCCTCTGCACTTGGGGCTTTAGGGGCGCTCAGCACACATTTATTGAGCACCTGGTGTGTCCAGGTGCTGTTCTAGGCGCTGGGTGCACAGCGATGAGCACACAGACAAAATGCCTGCCTTGGGGCTCACGTTCTGGGGGGAAGGGAATCCTCAGTAAGCACTTAATGAAGTAAACACTCAGGGTGTCTGAAGGTGACACGTGGAATGGAGAACAACGAAGCAGGATGAGAAGACCCCAGTGTGGCAGGCGCCAGCTTTCTTTAGAGGTGTCAGAGAAGGCTCGCTGCTAGGAGACGGTCAGAGGCTGGGCCCCAGAAGTGACTCTGAGATGGAGTTTAGGGTAGAGTGCTGATTAGGGATCACTGCTGTGTAAGGATGAGAGGGGAAGAAGCGGGATGAAGCGAAGGGAGAAGCTGAGCCACGATGCAGGCAGGGGCTTCGGCCCAGCCCCTGGGGAAGCTCCAGTGATGAGGGAGCCCCTCAGAGCTGTTGGGCCGGGATGGCCAGCCATATGTTCCTGCCTCCGTCAGTCACTGGACACGGGCCACCCTTGCAGGGACAGGACTTCGGGCAAGACAGACCCTGGAGGGGTGGGCAGCCAAGGTGTCTGCTGACCACACTCCCAGCAGCCAGGGCAACAGGCCTTAATGGCAGAGGGATCTGGTGGGCACATCTTTGCTGCCCTCACAGAGACATTGTTTTCCCGTGCAACTTTTTATTTTGAAAATATCCAGCATACAAACAAGTTGGACATACAGTAAACACCCAGACCTAGATTCAGTTGCTGTGAACAGTTTGCCACATTTCATTAACCCCTCCATAGCTCTAGCTCTCTCTCTTTCTACATACGTGTGTATTTTTCTTTTTCCGTTTTTTACCCCCATGAACCGTGCGTTAGCTGCAGAAACCATGATACCCCCCTCCTAAATACTTTAGTATCGTCTCCTAACAGCAAGGACATTCTCCTACGTTACCAAAATAAAATGACCACACGCTGGAAACTGAACTCCAATTCAAAGCTATTCTCTATTATCCATCTCCAGTTTCCCCCAACTGTCTCAGTAATGCCCTTGGCAGCCATTTTTTAAGCCCCAGGACCCAATTAGGGAACCACACCACGCATTTAAGTTATACATCTTTTCTTTTTGGCCTCCGGCATGTTGTGTGTTCAGGGTGTCATGTCAGGAAGAAGTACAATGTCACTTCCTCCTATTGTTGATAAGTTTGATGGGGGGGGAGGGTTTCTGCCAGAAGTCTCCATTTTTCCTATTGTGGTTCATGAGTAATTGGTGAAGTGATACTTTGAGACTGTGTAAATACGATGCTCCCAAACAACCTTTCACCCAGTGACCTGCCATTTAATGAGGAGTCTCACCTGAATCACTTAACTGCTTGGTGCAAAGTGTCGATTTTCTAATTTCATCATTCCGTCAACATTTGTTAATAAAGTATTATTTATCAGCCAGCCTTCTTTTGTAAAAAATTCCTCTCTTTTATTCATTTTTATCAATATGGTCTATTCAAGTTTTTCTAACTTGCTCAGTTCTTATCCCGTTCTGTGTTGTCCCATATTTGGCCAGTGGGACCCCCTTCAAACTGGCTCCTTTTTTCAAGAGGCATGTCCCCATCATTTTTTGAGAACACACTTATTTTCTGGGACAACCAAATGTTCCAGGATCCTCGTGTTCTCTGCCCCAGGCCTGGAATTGGCCATTGTTGGCAGGAGGTATTTGAGCAGAGACATGAAGGAACAGGGACAGCCCTGTGGATTTTGGGGTGGAGAGGAGGGATGAAAACTATCTGAAGGGGAGGATATGAGAATTAAATAAATTAACACATATAGTGTTCTTGTGCTTTTCTGGAGTTTTCAAACTGTGTGTCTTGAACAAGCATTATGTTACAGACAGGGAAAAAAGTGATTAAAATGCGAAAACAAGCATATGTATGACAGAGAAGGATGAACTGTTCTAGCAGGTTGGTGAGACAGCTCCTTATTCATATGGGAAAATGGATTCCTACCCTGGGGGGACTACAGATGAAAGTTGGGGGTGGGGGGAAACCGAGAAACTGAGGGTAGAGAAACGGAGCAAATGCCTTGAGAAGAGATTTGGCAATATTTAGTAAGGCTGAACATGCGCATACCCTACTGCTCAGCAAGGCTGCTGGAGAAATCTGCAGGATGGCCACCAAGGAAGGCGAACCCTGCAGGAATGGAAATAGCGGTGTACGGGTGTGTGCCCGCGTGTTGGCAAAGGGCTGCTAATAACTTTGAGGCCCAACCGTTATTGGATAGATGCAATGTGCTTTATTCCTATAATGAAATACCAAACTGCAGAAAAATAATTAAAACAATGGGGACAAAAATCAAGTTGCATCAGCACATTATTTGGCCCTAGGGCTAATGAATTTCTGTCCGCTGCGGGGCAGGTAGGGCAGGAGTGTTCTTTGTCATACGCTTTATGCCTTTGGTATATCTGGAAGGCCTCCCAGTGCACGAAAACAAAACGTGTCTAAGCTGGCGGTGCAGAGAGGATGTGGAATAAAAAGAAGGGCTTAGCGGGGCCGCCTCCTCCACCTGCGCGCGGGCAAGAGTCAGCGTCCGTGGCCGGGGCGGGGCCCTCGCTGCGCAGGCGCAGCTGGGATCGCGGCGTCCGTCTCGCCGGGTGGGCGGGGCTAGGGCGGGGCGACCCGGAAGGTCCGGCAACTGGCTACCCTCCTCGCTTGGAGCACCGCGGGACCACCATATTCCGACCTTCCTCCTGTCCGGGAGGCTGCGGCCAGGATGGGCCGGAAGGTGACCGTGGCCACCTGCGCGCTCAACCAGTGGGCCCTGGACTTCGAAGGCAATTTGCAAAGGATTTTAAAGAGTGAGTCTGGGGGTGGGGTGTGGCGAACGCCCACTCTGGCGGGGCCGCGGCTTGCCGGTGGCGCCCGCACAGCCTTGCCCTGCAGAAACGCGCAGCTGTGGGCGTGGTGACAGATAAGATAATGGATAATGACCGCGGCCGAAGTGCCTAGGAGTGTTTATAGTTTCTGGGGACATGTGGTATATATAACGCACTGGTAGGAAAAGTCTGGAGGTGGAGGTGGGAGGACCGGGGACGCACGTGGCATAGCTGGGGCCGAACTGCCAATCTCCGAGGTGTTTGGACCGGTGACTGACCACTGGGGAGGCTGTCGTGCAGGGACCAGAGATTGGATGGTCTCTAGTCTCTGAGCGCCTTGCTGGTGGGTGGGCACTGGGAGGAGGCATCCCAAAGAGGGAAGTAGAATGAGGGGTGAGCTGCCAGCTTGGAGACTAGAGTGTGGTTGTTGAGGCATCATCATTTAATTATGGTTCATATCAGCTCACCTTGGAGAGTGAAAGGTCAGACTATTCTACCTATACCTAAACTGGGGCTGCCATGGGCAAACGTGCAGGTGCAGTCACCCCAGGTTGTCTTGTGCTGGGCTGCTTACTGTTTGCCAGCACAAATGAACACAGAGTGTCTCAAGTGCTGGCTTCTTATCAGCCATGTGCCTTGGACCTTCATCTTTTGTTTTCTTTTTTTTAAATATCAACCCACTTTCATCTCATCAGAGCTCAGAGCAAATCTGGTTGGTGTGAAGCGAAGCTGGGTGGCCTCTCCTCCTTAGACTGCATGTTGGAAGCTGCTGCCCAAACCCTGACACTGCTACCCCTGCGGGGTTGTAATCCTTCGCGCCCTGCCCTTTTCCTACAGATGATCTTGGGCATCTACTTGTTAATAAACTACCAGGGTGTGATTTTTTTCCCCTTCCTCTACCTCCTCCCAAGTCCTCCCTGTTTGTCATTTCCTGCAGGCATCAGCAGGTGTGTACAGATGTGTCCTCTGCTGCTAGGCTATCAACAGGAGGACTGGCTGCATCGGGGCCAGGAGGTCACAGGGCATTTTGGTTTTTTATCATACCTACTGTAGCATCTGCCTTTGAACGTATTGTAGATGCTGAAATCATCCCCCCTTCTTTCTTTGTCTGTACATATAGGTATTGAAATTGCCAAAAGCAGAGGAGCAAGGTACAGGCTTGGACCAGAGCTGGAAATATGGTGAGAACAGACACACAAACAGGCGGGTAGTGGTGAAATGCGTTGTTGGTTATAGAGTGCTCCTAACTCTGGCTGCCCAGTAGAATCAGAGGCTTTGGAAAAACACCAATACCTGGCCCCCGCCTCCCCAAACACTTTCCAACTTGACTGGCCCACAGGCCTCACCCTCCCCGGCTACCTGAGTTGTGTGTCAGCCTCACCTTCCTGCGCTCTCTCTGCAGTGGCTACGGATGTTGGGATCATTATTACGAGTCGGACACCCTGTTGCATTCATTTCAAGTCCTGGCTGCTCTTCTGGACTCTCCCGTCACTCAGGACATCATCTGCGACGTGGGGATGTAAGTGCCAGCGTGAGCGTACGGAACGGCAAGCTCAGAAACAAGGCGAGTTTGAGGGCGTGATCTCTCCAGCGCCGTCCTGCTCTCAGTGGTGTGGAATGTGCGCGTGTCCAGAGACACAGAAGCCTCATGTTGAGAAATGGGTTTTGTTCCTCTCTCATCCCCCTCCCCCACCACTCCTTCCCATGGAGGCCGCTCCTGGAAGCAGTCTTTGGAAGCTCTTCTGGAAGCTCCTGTGTACACATGAGCACACTTTGCACAAATGGGGGCTCGGGGCTCATCCCATTGCACACAGAAAGCTTTATTCTTTCACAGTGAGTCTCGGGGGTGGTTCCACATCCTCTGCATCAGCATGACCGCCCGGTTCCCTGTGGTGTAGGTTCCAAGGGCGTAGCTTCCCCTGGCAGGACTTGCACGTGCTGTTCTGGTATGTGTCTGCGCCACACGTGCGTAGCCAGTGCCCTACCACTGGGCCTCACACCATGTCCATTTCCTGTCCTTCGACTCCGCTTTATCTGCTGTGAAGGTGGCACCTTCGCTTGCTTTTTCTTAACATTTGCTTTGCGGGTACTGTCCTGCCACTTCGTGTTCATATTGCCGTGACATTTGTTTAGTAGGGTCTCTTCCCTACTAAAATCCCAGAGATGGGATTTTTAATCCAATGTGGTCACATCAATGATGATTATTGATATTGTGGACTGTATTGGTTTCCTGTTGCTGCTGTGACAAATTACCATGAACACGAAAGCTACACAAATATTTTAGCGGGTGGTTCTGCAGGTCGAGCCAAGAGGTCAGTGGGTCAGCAGGAAGTCTCTCTGCTTCCGGAGGCGCCAGGGGAAACCTGCATCCTCGGCTTGGCCAGCCCCCTCAGCCTGTGCGCTTCTGTCCGCAGGTCTCCTCCTGCAGCCCTGCCCCTCATAAGGACCCTGCGGTCACCCTGAGCTGCCCCGATTGTCCAGGGTCATCTCCCCTCTCCAGGTCCTTAACTTCCTCCACCTGCAAAGTGCCTTTTGCTGCATAAGGTCGCATATTCACAGGCCCCAGCAATTGGGACGTGGGCATCTTTGAGGGAACCATGGATGGTTCAGCCAAACACACAGACCGTTCTGGTCCTTTTAGTAAGTTTCCTACTCATTAGCTTCTCTTGATGTTTTTTTTTCTTTTTGCCTTTTTATTTTTGTTCAAACTTTCCTCTGCTGGCTTAGAATTTATAATCCTATTTTTATTTTTCTAGTTTTTACCCTTAAAATGGTAACAATCATATTTGAGGATATTTTTCTTTTGAAGCTCCATTGGACAAAACGAGAATTATGTCATAGTATCATTGACACCTTCCATTTGAATTCTTTTTCCAAACGATCCTCCAGGAAGAGGGTGATCAGTCCCTCTGTGGTTGGAGGTGCGCCATCCTTAGTGCTGACCAATGCGGGGTTAGCTTTTAGAAACTACGTTAGAAAAAAATCTTAGAATGGTGGATAATTAAAAAAAAAACCCACTATATTATTTATTTGCATTTGTAGCTTACGGAGTTGCACGTTTTTTCTGTTTGTTGGTCCTTCGTAACACTGTTTGAGAGTTGCCTTTTCTTTTGTCTACAATTGTTTGTGTGTAATTTATTCGAAGAGTTCTTTATATAGGAAAGACATCAACCTATTACCCTGTAGGCTAAAATTACTTTTCCTTGTATGTCGTTTACTGTTGAAATTTGTTGTATATGTTAAGCTTTAAAATGTTTGTGCAGTGAAACTCCCTGTGATCTTTTGTTTCTGTTTGTTTCCGTTTTTGTTCAAATGGCTTACTCCGGTTAGAGGGCACATATTTACTGAAGGTCTGTTTTCTTTAAAACATCTGTTTCTCTCACACTCTGTACATACCTTGTACAAATGAGAATGTGGTTGTGTTCGTCCCGCGATGTGTTCTGGTTTGGCAAGGAATGGAAGCTGTGTGGAGCCAGCGCTCACGGTGGCTGTCGTCGTGTGCTGTGACAGGACTGGGGGTTGGGCAGGGGTGGTGCCCTTTAAGCCCTATTTTGGGGGGAAGAATTAAGGCCAGCGGTCCTTAGCCAGTGAAAAAGCTGGAATCTGAGCCCCGGCAACCTGGCTCTGTAGTCCACACTGATTCCCAGGTTTTCTTTCCTCCCGACGCTGTGCTGTGTTTAAGCACATCCCTGGGCGTGCTGTCCTCACTGCTCTCTGATGGTACGTCCCCTCGGTGCTCCTGGAAGGGTCATCTTTCCCCGTGCCTGCTGCGCTCTGCCCTGGGCCTCCTGTCGTTCACTCTGGGCCGGGCTCAAGCGTGGGTCCCCTCATCTGCAGGGGGGAGATACCAGGTTGTCAGAGAGGTGACGTGATCTCGAAGCACCATGTCTAGTCCTGGGAAGGGGCCAATCAGAGCCGTGAATGGATTTGATTTGTTCCCTGCCTGGGCCTGGGCCTGGGCTGGCCGCCCAGGAGCCTGTGATGTGCCAGGCGTGAGCAGGAGAGCTCAGGCGGGAGAGGTGCAGGGAACGGGACCGAGGCAGGGAGCTGGCACTCGAGGAGGTTAGGAGGGGAGAAATGAGGAGCAGCGAGGTGTGGGCAGAGGGGTGGCAGCCATGGAAGGCCTGAGAACAGTCCAGGAAGAGCAGGAGGAGCCCTAAGGGCGAATGACTTTGCTCTATTTTTTTTTTTTGAGACAGAGTCTCGCTCTTTTTGCCCTGGCTAGAGTGAGTGCCGTGGCGTCAGCCTAGCTCACAGCAACCTCAAACTCCTGGGCTCAAGCGATCCTACTGCCTCAGCCTCCTGAGTAGCTGGGACTACAGGCATGTGCCACCATGCCCAGCTAATTTTTTCTATATATTTTTAGTTGTCCGATTAATTTCTTTCTATTTTTAGTAGAGACGGGGGTCTCACTCTTGCTCAGGCTGGTTTCGAACTCCTGAGCTCAAACAATCTGCCCACCTCGGCCTGACTTTGCTCTTAATTGAGAAGAATGTCTTCTAGTCCAAGAGTCCGTGCCACTGGGTGGCAGAACCATTCGGCTTATTTTTAAGTTTGATTTGAGAATGCCACAGAAGAGTCTTGCTGTTCCCTTAAAGTATCTGAGGAAGCTGCATATTAAAACAGAATGTTGATTCTAGAGCTTTAGCTGTGTGTTTTCATAGCCAGGGCAGACAGGTATACACCTGCCCTTTCTCCTGCAGGCCTGTGATGCACCGAAATGTCCGCTACAACTGCAGAGTGATATTTCTCAACAGGTAAGTGTTCCCCTGCCCCTGGAGGGTGACAGGTGTGCCTCTCCCTGGCTCTCAGCTAGAGGGCTGAGGGACCTGTGCTGGTGCCCTGGGAGCCCTTGGCCGGGAGGCTGCTTCTGGAAATACCGGGCTCTTAGCAAGGACTGATGTACCAGGCAGGTGATTCGAGTGACTTAGCCTCTCTGGGTCTCAGCCACCACAGGCATCATCAGGTTTTAGAAAGAGAGAGGGTGGAGGGTGGAGTTTGGGGACGCCAGGTCCTTGTCGCCTGGAAGCCAGTCTAGGTGAGCGAGGTCTTCTTACAGACCTGTCTTCAGCTGCCAGCAAGGTGCACACCTACGGGTCTGAGCTGCTGTCATCATCAACAGTCAGGGATGGATGGAGCTGTGGGGACCCATTTTGCAAACAGAAAGCTGAAGCCCGGAGAAGGAAAGAGATTTGCTCAGGGCCCCGGTTTTGAGCTATTTCTGTGTCGTGTCACCTGGTCCTTTGGTGGTGGTGGCCACTGGCTGTGGCACATGCATCTCAGGAGCTCGGTGTGAGCCGCCCTGTTCACCTGCCTCCAGGAGGATCCTGCTCATCAGACCCAAGATGGCCTTGGCCAACGAAGCCAACTACCGCGAGCTGCGCTGGTTTACCCCGTGGTGCAGGAGTCGGTGAGTCGCGGGGCACAGGAGCATGATTTCTGACTGCTCCTTGGATGTTTATTAAGCATTTTCACCGAGTGCAGCCTGGGTCCCACACCACGGGAGGAGACCCACGAGACCACCAGAACAGGTCCCTGGCCCCTGGTGCCTGTCATTTGGACGTGGCTGTCTTGATGCTGCTGATTAAATTGTAGCCGAGTCCATCACACATCACAAACTCTCCCAGCCATCGATCAGTGATCAGCAGTCGCTTTGAGGGAAGCGTCACTTCCATCTTGAATGATCCTGTGTATCACGGTTTCTCCCCTCTGGCCCAGCTGACACATGGGGATGGGTCGTTCTTTGTTACAGGAGGGTGTCCTGTGCACCATAAGGTATTTAGCAGCATTCCTGGTCTCCCTGTAAATGCCCACCCATGCCACAACCCAAACTGTCCCCAGACATTACCAGATGTCCCCTGGGGGACAAAATCGCCCCTGGTTGAGAAACCCTGCTCTCTCTCTCTATATA